GGTGCCCCCCCCCCCCCATATTGCTAGGGGCAGAGGCAAATGTGCGCACAGAATGAGTGCCCTGCTAATAGAGCTGAGTTATGGGAACTTTAGGGGTTTTCTGATTAGCTCTTTGACCTTGAGAAAAAGAACTTTGTTTCAAAGTGGCTAAAGTCAGTTTCTAGCTAAATCCTTTCTAGATTTAAATTGCTACTCTTGGCCCAAATCTGGAAAATACACGAATGTCTATCGAGGGAAGAGTTGAATACATTATGATACATTCATGCTATGGAACAGTAAAAAAGTGTGTTAGATCTATTTGTATTCAAATAGATAAATATATTTGTATTCAACACTTAGGAATAATATAATGTTAAATAAAACAACAAACAGTGAATTGCAGAGTAACATGTACTTTACAATCTTTTTGTAAACACAAGGAAAAAACCCATGGATGTGTGTGTGTGTGTGTGTATGTATGTATGCTAGAACGAACACAGAGAAAAGAAAGAAATGATACATGAATTTGTTAACAGTTATTTTAGGGAAGTAGGATTAAAGGGAGAGAAGATGATTGATTTTTTTCTTTTTATCCCTCTAACCCCCCTAAAAACCAAACCACCACTTGAGAACAGCTATTTGGATAGTCACTGAATAGAAACAAGAGCAACAAAGTGAGAATCAACCCATAGGATCATTCCTAAATTTCACTTTAATCTGGTTTTATATATCTGGTATTAAAATATAAGCCCCCCTCCCACCCCTCTTCACAACATGGGCTCCACAGGGTAATACACTGACAAGTGTGAAGGAATGCTTTTCCTTCAAGTCACGTGCCCCTAATCTTTTTAAAGAAGGGCATTTAAAAAGTATGTATATATAAATACACACACACATATATATATATATTACTTTAAAAAATTCAGGTATAATTTACATACAGTAAAATTTACCCTTTTCAGTGTAGGACTCTGTGAGTTTTAACCATCACCAACAATCAAGATATAGAACATTCCTATTTCCCCAAAAAGTCTTCTCATGCCACTTGGCAGTCAACTTGTTCCCCCACATCCAGCCCCTGGCACCCACAGATCTGTTTTCTGTCCCTATAGCTTTGTTTTTTCCAGAATGGACTATATAAATGGACTCCTACAGTTGGCAGCCTTTTGAGTTTGGCTTCTGCTTAGCATAATGCATCCGAAATTCATCCACGTTACTGCATGCATCAGTAACTTTTTTACTGATGAGCACTATTCCGCTGTACAGATGTATCCTGTTACCTATTAACCTGTTGAAGATTTGTGTTTTTCCACTTTTTAGCTATAATGAAGAAAGCTGTTATAAACTTTCTCTACAGCTTATTACGAGTAGCTATTTTTAATTCCCTCAAGGCCCTCAGGAGGTGGAAAAGGGTGCGGAGAGCAGGGCTGCTAAAAGTAATGAATGTTGTTCAAGTGGAGCTGGAGCGGGGGGTGGGAGGCAGCCCAGGGGTTCCAGCAGAAAGGAAGAGGGGCGCCTGCCTTGACAGGGGCTCTGGCCTCCCTCCTCCGACCGGGGTGCACGCCCTCCCCGCACCCCACGTGATGCTGCAGCGTTAAGTAGCATGATACAAACTCCTAGAACAGCGATTGTGCTTAGCGCGCGCGCGCGCGCACACACACACATTCCTGCTCACAACACACACATAACACGAACACACGCGAGGCTGCGAGAGGAGCCCAGGCGGCAGAGAAAGCTCGGCGGCGCCGCTCCGGGCCGGGCTGCCCCGCTTACCTGCCGCGGGTCCATGGCGCCCCCGAGGCATCGCCCAGCCCCACAGCCCGCAGCACCCCCGCCCCCGCGGCTCTCACGCTCGGGGCACCTCGGAGTCGGAGGAGCCCCCGGCCCGCCGCGCGCTGGGCCCAAGATGGCTACGGTTTAATTTCGCTTTCGTTTCCTCGGAAAGACTTCCCCTTCGGGAAGTTTGGCCAAGAGGAGGGCTTTGTGCAAATGGAAGCGTGCGCACCGGCTTTCGCGCGGATCGCACGCCGAGTCCCTGCCGTGCGTGACAAGTGCGGAGGGTGAGCGTTCTTCAGGAAAACGGCTGTCCCCGTACTGAGCTACACGGTTCCGCTCGCACGGCGCGCTCAGGAGTCGGCGGGACAAAGCGAAAAGAAAACACAGGTGCGCGGCCAGCCCTGGGCGCGAGGGGAGCGGCAGGGGCTGCGTCCTTCCTCTCGCGGGGCAGTGAACGTGACCGTGTCTCTAATGCGGTGGCGGGGGCAGATCTCTTCAAGTGACTAACGTCCCCACGGTGGACTACCTGTTAATGTTCCTATCATATTGCCAACTTAAGTGAGTGGATACAAGCCAGTAAAAAGTAGCAAGATAATGGTAACAGCAACAATGAATAATCCAGATCTACGTCATAGAACCACCCCAGCAGGCGAGGGTTACCTTAGTGCGTTATCTGCCTTGATCTTCACAACAGCTCTACAAAGTAGGCATTATTCCTACTTGACAGGTGTAGAAACTGAGGCTTAACCGAGGCGACGCTGCTAAATATGGGTGTGACTGCGGAAAGCCCCCTCTTCACTGCTCCTCTACACTCGCTCAACTTACAACGTTACTTTCAAAAAGATAACTTTTGGTATAGAGAGGGAAAACGTTCAATTTATTTAATGGTCAGGCTTATTTCTCTAACAGCTTGATTTTGTTCAAAATATCTAGGAAAAGATTAAAAGATTCTACAGATCAATTCCAATGCTCAACAGTCCTCTCTCCCCTCCCCTATGAGAAATGTCTTTTTCTGTTTAATCTCGATTTTATCCGGACTGTTTATGAGATTTACGAGGCAGTCACTTCATAGCATTATCTCCAGCTGATGTCCCTTCTCCACTTTACTCTCATTCCAGTCATCCTAAGTGCTAGTCACTCCAAATTTCCCTTCCTTGTAGGCTGTGCTCTTTCTTCCTTCTGTGCCTTTGCACATCCTATTCCTTGGCCTAGAATGCACTTTCTCCTCTACTGCTTCCTGAAGCAGTCTTTCAAAATCTGCTTCAATATTACCTCCCAGGGAGCCCTTCTCCCACCCCAGGTTGGGGGTGAGAAGTGAGGGAGCGTGTGCAATATGTGGTTCCTTATTCTGTGCTTCTCCATTACTCAGCACTTAACCCTAATAGAGCACTTCCACATTCCACTGAAAATGCCTCATTCAATCATTTAACAAAACTTTATTAAGCACCTAATATGTGCCAGATACCGTGTTAAGCACCGAGGGTATGACACAAGTAAGAGCTCCATCCTTCAGCTATCCTCCAGTCTGGTGGGGAAGATGGATGCCCCAACAATCACCACAATATTATGTATTACTTGGTTACAGATCTGCCTTTAGAGCCATCAAGTCTTCTCAGGAGCAGGGAACATGTTTTTATACATCCCTATATCCCCCTGCACAATGACCTTCAGAGGGTTGGTTAGTTGCATGAATAACAGACTACTCAGGTAAAACAATGGGCAAAAGCAGTTCAAAGGGAACTTCATAGGAGGAAATAAAAATATCGATAAATATTTTCCCTCACTGCATCAGGGAAATGTACAGTAAAGCCACAGTGAGTTACTGTCCATCCCCCAGACAGGCAGCATTAACCATCTGATCGGATCAGGTGGGAGCAAAGATGCAGAGCAGCTCCTGCTCACTTTAGGAAGCCACTGTCTAGGAAAGGTGTGAATATACTCACCCTACAATTCAGCAATTCCAGTCCTAGACCAGGATACATGTATAAGTTCATAGTTGCATTGTTTGTAATGGCCCCCAAATTGGAAACAACCCACTGTGCATCAAAAGTAGAATGGATAAATAAATGGTGGCATATGCCTGTAATGGAATATTGTACAGCAACAAAAATGAAAGAACTATAACCACATGCAGCCAGGCAGGTAATTATCTAAACATGATATTGAGTGACAGAAGCCATATACATACTATATGGTTCCACTTACATAAAGTCCAAAACCAGGCAAAACTAACCTATGGTATGCACTGCATAAAAGACAGGATGATGGTTGCCTCTAGGGAAGGTGGAGGGAGTTTTGACTGGGAAGGAATATTCTAGGTGCTGATGTTCTAGTTTTTGACTTGGGTAGTGGCTACATATATGTTTGCTTTCCAATAATTCACTGTTATACATTTATATTTTATTCACATTTCTATATGTATATGCTACATTTCACTACTCTAAGAGGTTAAAAAAAACCAAGAACTACAACAAACTCTTTCCACAGCAGTTCCAGCCCATTTCCCCATGTTCTTTTCTCCATTTAAGTAACATGAGTTGTGTCTTACCTCTGCTTTCTTGCCGTCAGGCTAAACAGTCTGAAAGCCTTTAACCCTTCTTCAGTAATGATCCAGAAAAGGTTTAATCACAACTACTGTGCAGGAGAAGCTGCATTACTGCTTCCCTATCCCATTTCATCTAACATAGGATGCCGTGGTGAAACAGAAAGGGGAAATTTCTTTCCTAAACAGAGGGTCAGTTTATGTTTTGAAAGAACAACTGCTATTGTCATTTAACCCTAACAGTTCGAGTAACTGCAGTCTTACTCATAAGCGTTTCAACCCCTCCTCCTTGGTGATTGTTTAAACTCCCCCAGGGTTGTGAAGTGGTGATGTAAATCTTCATGCTGTTCTATTGTAGGGACTTGACAGTTGGATGAAGCCCTTTAAAAAATTAACTGAAAGTGGTAAGTTTATTGAAGAAAATCTCAGAAAGTACAGATAAGCAAACACAACAAAAATCACCTTTAATCCTTCATTGTTAGTTCATTGGTGCCTACCCTTCCAGTGTTTTCCTTGTATATAAAGGTACCATGAACACACAGGTGGTTGGTCCTCTCCCAGAGCAGGTGCTCTTCCTATAAAGAATGGCTCACCTCCCCAGGGGCCTGGGAGTGCTTCCTGCCAGGCTGTGAAGTGACCCCAAATGCAGTGCTTCATGTGTACATACCACCTAGGGCTACTTATTAACAAACACCCAAATGGTTAAGAGTTACCATCTAAAGTGAGGTAGTCATAAAAAAGAGTTTACTGAAACCCCTTACTCCGTAGTTTCAGAAGTTACTGCCAAGCTCCAGCTCCATATGTGCCTTCAGGGGGCTAGACTTCTCCAGTTATGGAGAAGGATACATTATCGTCATGGTTACTGAGTTGGTTTTAGTTTCCAATCCCTGCTATTCTTGCTTTTTAACTATAAATAACTGTTAGCTGGCTTTGTAATTATTAATTTGGTTTATTGTGGATCTTCTGTTTAACCTTACTGCATGCAGGGATGCATATAACAACAGTCTTTTTGATCTATAATTTCCTATAACCAGACTGCAGTACACATATGGGCTACATCTGCAAACTCCTTCAATATTTGCTCATACAGTGATACTGCAACAGAAATGTACTGTCTGTGAATATAATATGCTACTAAAACAATCTGCAACATGTTTTCAAAGAAAGTAATAAATTACTGAGTTATTTTTAAGTTCTAAGGTATTATTTTAGAATAGGATATACACATAAATAAACTCATGTTCTTATCCTAACTCTTTGGAAACACATAATAAGCAATCCATAGAGTTGTTAGGCACAAATTTATTGCTCTCCTTTTTGTGTTGTTTCTCTTCTTTATCACTGGGTTTTTTTATTCCACCAAAACAGCTACTACCATACCAACATTAATTTTCAAAATTCACAGGGTCTTCCCACGAAAACACCGCTTGCTTTGATAACCCATAAGGCTTTTGGTAGACAGAATAGCAAGCTGCCCGACTGGCTGAGTAGTGCTCCACAGCTGTATTTATCAATACAGTATACTCTACTGATGTTAATGACCTGAACTGGCTTTTGAAGTTACTTAGGAAAGCAAGAAATGCCTCAGGTAACCAGAGGTCTCAAAAGCAGTTAAGTACCTGTACCCAATTAAAGTTACCTAGTAATTGAAAGAAAAAAAAGTGCCACCAGGCATTGTGTTAGTGGGTATTATCATATGATACAGATATAGTATTAGCAATAATGTCAAAACAATGCTACTAATAATGGAAAACAGGCCTGTGTGGAATATTTCACATGTATGTATAACCAGTTCATTTAGTCTCATAACCACCCCACAAGGCAACTCTATACAAGTTGTGGTTTTATGCATTAAATCCTAACACACTTAAACTGCCTCTCCTATGCTAGATTGGTCTTGCATGCAGCACCTGACTGACTTCTGGTCTGGCACTGGCCAGCACAGAGGCTCAGCTACCAGCCCATGTTTGGGTTCCAAGGAGTTGGGACACAGAGGGGGACCTCTCATCCACTCTTGCCTTTTCTTCCTCTTCTTCCCCAGGACCCAGGCTGTGAGTGGCTGGGCTCAGTCCAAGCTTCCTGCAAGGTAATGTCCTCATCTCCTAGGCTTGAAACCAGAGGGGACAAGTGAAGTACTGTCCTGGGCAGGCTCAAAGGCAGCCTCTGACCCAAGTTCTGCAGTGTTTCCTGGGGAAGCAGGCTGATTTCACCAACAGCAATTTACAGAAAGCCAACTTGCCAAATGGTCAATTCCCTGAATAACCAATTTAGGAAACAACCAATATGCTTAATTTACTTTTTTGTTTAAGCTCCTTAGTCTTAGTTGACCAGTTTTTATTCTGTCTTCATAATAGAATTTAGAGGAAATGTACTCTGCTGTCTCCTTGCTGCTCTAGAGCTAGATATTGAGGAGGAAACTAGGGAAGACAAAAGGGTGAGACAGAGGGGCTTTTGTAGAACTGATTTTCGGCAGACTGACTTTCTGGGAATTGACGGAGAGCCATTTCCAGGTGTCTACAGTCTTCTTTC